TTGTAGTCGTTTTTGTGGACGACATCCTTATCTATTCGCCTTCTGAGGAGGAGCACGAGGCACACTTGAGGGTGGTGCTAGAGTTACTTAGAGCCCATAGGCTGTATGCCAAGTTTGGGAAGTGTGAGTTCTGGCTGAGGGAAGTCAAATTTTTAGGACACGTGGTATCCGGGGAGGGTGTGTCTGTTGATACATCCAAGGTTGAGGCAGTGCAGGATTGGGCACAACCTAAGAGTGTGTTTGAGATCCGCAGTTTTCTGGGATTAGCTGGGTATTACCGTCGGTTTGTGAAAGATTTCTCCAGGTTAGCGTCACCGTTGACTAGACTGACTCGGAAGGGAGTCAAATTTGTATGGAGTGAGACTTGTGAAAAGTCGTTTCAGGAGTTAAAAGTTAGACTGACCACCGCTCCAGTATTGATTATTCCAGAGAGAGGGTTGGGTTATACAGTCTATTGTGATGCTTCACGAGATGGTCTGGGTTGTGTGTTGATGCAAGAGGGGAAAGTAGTTTCCTATGGCTCACGTCAGTTGAAAATTCACGAGCAGAATTACCCTACGCATGATCTAGAGTTAGCAGCTGTGATTTTTGCCTTGAAGATTTGGAGGCATTATCTTTATGGTGAGAGGTTCGAGGTATTCTCGGATCATAAGAGTCTGAAATATTTGTTCACACAGAAAGACTTGAACTTGAGGCAGAGAAGGTGGATGGAATTTATAGAGGATTATGACTTTGAGTTGCATTATCATCCGGGAAAGGCCAATGTGGTGGCCGACGCCCATAGCAGGAAACCTGTTGGTGACATAGCTAGTATAGCCATCCGAGAATGGGAGATGTTGGGAGCACTTGGGGAGTTTAATTTGCTACTGGGCGAATCTGTCGAGGCTGCGGCCTTGTTTTCCGTTGTGGTGCAGCCTACACTTGTGACTAAAGTATTAGAGGCACAGAGAGGTGACCTTGAGGTAGAATCTCTCCGTGAGAAGATTTCCGGTGGGAAGGTTGAGAAGGGTTTGACGGTGTATTCCGACCTGAGTGTGAGATACCGAAACC